TTCTGTAGTCTTTTGCGCGTCACCTATTGTTCTAATGTCGCCACATCTCTACCGCGAAAAACCGCCTCGTTTTTGTTGATCTTGTACAAAACCAGCTTTAACCTACAGCCCGGACGCGTTAAAGCGGTTTTTAACAGAGGAATCCACATCAGCATATAGTAAAATTGATCAGTCAGTTGTGGCTCGTTTAGCAAATAGAATTAATGCTAGACGAATATGTAATAACAAACTTTACAATAAGATCTTTTTAGTTCATCAGCAGATTCATAATTTTTGTGACATCAGACCCAATAAAATGGGAGAATCTTTTAAAGTTCTTCATGTAGATCGATCGGTAAATTTCCATTGTCTGAAACCTGTACAGGCAACTTAGTCTTAGTGCTTGTAGTAAGGCCAGACATAGAGTGATATGGTCTTCTTTGCAAGCGATCGTGCGTTTTGCATTCCTCTACGCGAGAGCTAGACTGTCCTGTTCCAAGTACATGGATGGGATAGTAAAGGCATAGACCTACAGTTAAAAGCAGAGTTGATTATTTAATATGCTTCCCGTTTGAGTCTCTTTTGAGGGAGCATGCTGGTTAGAGACGGATTGCGGAAGCAATAGCAAACGTGCGTAGTTTGTTTATGCTGCAAAGCCATAGTAGTAGCTTTATTTGCAGTGAGGATATGCGCATACATTTGTGGTATCTTTGGTTGATTGAGTAATTCATCATGACATGTTTGTTTTTATTTATCTCCGAATATTGATTATATTACTAGCCCTTCGACCACTCGGCCATCTCCCTTAGTATTTTTAAACACCTTGTAGCAATTAAATATGTTTATTATTCAACGTAGAATTTCAATAACGATAATAGGAATATTTAGTGTAATAGTAAGATGACATCACCTACGTCTACTGATTGTGTCACTTGATACCAACTGAAAATTGCACTTTTTTTTCGAATCAAATAAATCTAGTCCCTTCCACTCGCTCATAGCCATGTCCGCACAGGATAAAAACTCTACAGTGGACTTAGCAAATAACTTGTCAACGGCCTCCTTGCTCTCTTACAAATCTTCTGCTCCACTGACAACTCGTCATAACAACGGATCAAAATCTGACGCACAACAGCAAACCGTCGAATGGACAGACGAAGAACGTTTACTCTGGCTATTCTATAAACTGAATGTAGTTTATTTAAATCTTAATCAACTACCACTAATTTTTAAAAGCGTGTACCATTACGACATTCCATGGCTTGATAACGATAAAAAGCTATTGTACAGCAAATTTCCCCATAAATTGCGTAAGCTACTTCAATGCAGAAGTTTCCCCCATTACACTGATCTTTATGACAGATCCTATCCTTCGGATTGTTGGCGTGCTTCTCCATCCTTTGTCAAACCACTGGACATTCATTCTCACGTTCTTACCAGCAAAGTATTCGGAAGAGATGTTACTTCTCCAACTATAAAAGTAATGGAAACACGATTGCGCACTCTGCTTCCAGACAGATCACGAATAAGCATTGAATTGTTACGTGAACTATATGAGAGTCTATATCCGCCATTGACTCCCGATATTATTTCATCATACTTGGTGTATCCCTTGGCTGAGACACTGAATGACATTACGCCTGCGTATCGTACTCTACTGCAACATATAAAATCACCTGGTTTAGAGATGGGAACTTATTATCTTACTATAAAGTCTAAAGAAGAGTGTAAACACGGTGAACACGCAGATTATATGCGTATAGTAAGACGGCAGATGGGCGAACTGAATCCTGAGCATGTAAGAAACGATGAAAAGATAGGATGGAGCGTAGCCAAGGATAATTTGATAGATAGAAGAAGAGCGTCGACCGAACAGTTGGAGCAGAACGAGGAGACAGGATGGAAAACAGGCAGGGATGTATCGATAAGTCGTGAGATATTATCCATTGAGCGGTTGGAACGTGATGGAAGTAAAAATGAAGAAAGTTGCTTGGCGAAGCTCAAAGAAGAGATACTCACTTTGTGTAAGTGTTTTATGAACTGAATTTTAGATATCGGATGCGCGTGAATCCATAGCTATTATCGGCTTGGAAATGATCACATAATATTTGATTGAATTCATGTGTCGACCTTGATGACGTCAATTATCACACATTAGCAGTTACTAATCGATTATTTATCATCAATGTCAACGTTATCATTATTATCATCTTGTGCTCTTACATATGTCTTCTAACCGGATTAATTGCAGTTCAGAACACGTTTTATTATCGCCCTTCCGCGCTCGAAGAAGCCTACGTAGCGACTTACGACCGTCAGCCTCCGATAAGTTCCAAGTCAAAGACAGTTACAGTTGCGGACCTCCTCAGCACAGAATATCCATCTGAATTTGCCATTGTACATTTAAAATCAAATATAAGTTTTATTTGTCGGAGGAGCAAGCAACCATTCAAAGGAAGCGAGTTCAGATATAAAATAGCATCAGACAGGATTGCAATATCGGAACGTAGGTATTCAGAATCCAGAACGGATCATAAGTCAGAATATATTCATCCACTAGAAGTAGCATTTGCGCGGGTATATTGTGTCGCTGCACCATCGACCGAGCTAACAACAGATGACTTGGAAGAACTTTACTATGATTTATATCAAAGATCAGTAGGCTGGCATAAATTCCAGTATACAAGCTTCGAAGACTTTTTAGCAGACTCAAACGGATTCGATGTCAGGGGTCGATTAATAAAAGTCAAACAGTGTCGATTGAGTGAGCTACTTAAGCATAAACAAATTTCACCATTTCATTTACGAACTGAACGAAGGTACGATATGCGCAATGAGAATCGAGTGCGCCCCAGGACAGAGGGACGTGGGACATCTAAATTTGGACACGAAAACACAGTCCGTAATGAAATACGAGATCATCAAATGTTGGAAGGGAGAACCATGCATAAAAATGATAGCAGAACGCGTGCACGTCTGACTCATCCACGGTTTGATACTAGATTTCAATCACGAAACTATACAAAGCATTCTACAAGACCTGAATCCCAGGTCGACGTGCGACATTCAATGTATGGAGACACACGGTTCTATGCCAAACCCGACCCAAATTATAATAAAGGATCTCGGTATGGCTACAAAAGGGGACGCTCTCCTGAAGAAGGTAATGTTGCGAGTGAGCGTTACATGCGTAGAAGAAGATCGATATCGCCTTTCAAACATTCCATGACGTCTTCATCGCCTAGCAAAGAAGATCTAGAACTCAATTATACTTCACTTACAAACGAGTTATTAAATAGCCCTCCTGTTGGGGTTTCAGTGACTACCGGTATGTCAAACAATGACGCATTTAGATCTTCTTCACCGCAATGGACAGGTAGAACGTTATTTGTTCGAACGAGTAAATCTAATGGAAAGCGTCGAATGATATATCCGAAAAGATCGGGGGAAATACACAGAGATGCACAAAGGAATGTAAAAGGGCATTTACGAGGATTGAGACATTACAACAGACGGACCGATTCCATTCAAGACACTCAGCACGATGGCCATGATATGTCTCATATAGACACGTCCTTGTCCCCTGATCAGCTTTCTCATTTATCCCGCTCTGCTTTATGGACAATGGAAACTAGCGATCCCGCGCTTGGCCAAAAATCTCCTTCTTATTCATCAATCCAAAGGGATCCCCAAGATACCGATTCCCACATGTCAACTCGGGGGGTTTTTATAAAACCTCTTATATCTAACAGAAAATATAAGAGTATAAGGAGAATAGATAACAGCAATGAAAGGCGCGATAGGGAAAGAAGAAATAGAAATCGGTCTAGAAGACGAGAGGACATTGATGTCTACGAGCGTAGATGTCCGCCGTTTTCGCCAGAAGCTAGAAGTGATGATGGGGATCATAGTGGTGACAGTAGTTCTAGTGGAAATTCTGGGCTGGGTATTCGGATAGCTTCATCGCCATTGCCAGAGGTATCAAAAGAGATAGAGACAACAGGCAGATATCATGGTGTTTTGTCATCTCCCGCGTACTCACCTGATTTCCGAGAAAACCCGACTTCGGAACCGGTGGTCAATGTTTTAACGTCACCCACGTATTCGCCACAACTTCAAGAAAAATCATATATGGAGTTTGGACTTCGTGTTCCAACGTCTCCTGAATATTCGTCGGAGCTACAGGGGGCAGTTATATCAGGATTGATGGTTGTTGCATATTCTTCTACAAACTCTTCCGCGCATCAAGAAGACGCTTGTAACACCTCAATTTCGCAAGAGAAACTGCACGAAGATTCTGATATGCATCTCGCAGAGTCTCTTTCGTACTCGCAGGAAAAGTCTTACATGAATTTGAGTGGTTGTCACTCGCCCTCCTCACAAGAAGAAAAACTTGATAAGAAATCGTTATTCTGCAGTCAGTCATCACCATTGCATTCCCATGACTATGAGGGAAAGTCACATGATGACTTGGAACATTATGATGCATCCTCATCCTCGTGCGCCCCAATTTTAGAGGATGCGAGTACCAATATATTGACCAAAGGAAAGCAACCAGAAATTTCTGGCTCATTGTCTCCATCAACAATAACGTCCACAGTTACACCTTCTACACCGGAAGGCTATGAGGAATTGAACGATGAATTGAGAGAGCCTAATAGAAGAGAGTCAAATAAAGAATCGAGTGAAAAAAAAGTGAACGAAGAAGTGAGTGGTGAGGTTTTTGGAGAGGTAAAAGAAGAATTGAACACAGGCTTGAGTGGTGAATCAACAGTAGTAGCATCAATTGAAGAAAGGAATGAAGAATGCCAGTCGAATGGGGCGTTGGGCAACATACAGGTGTTGTTGAAAGAAACTGATTTAAATTCACTGAATCCATCGTATGGCTTTGCTATCATGCCAGTAATGAGGACAAGTGAGGTGTTTAAGGAGTTGTCACCTCTACAAGCAGCTATGATCGAGGCTATATTTATTGTGAACAAAGAAATGAATTGTCAAATGCTAGATAATGAATCTTAGCAAGTTTGTGATAAGGTATAGTAACAGAATTGGGACAGAGAACAAAATTTTGGTCAAACCAGGAGTACGTCATATTTTCTTCGAATAAATTCAACCGGACAGATATGAAGAGATATTTTACGTAGTAATATTGAGACTATGACACATGACATATAGTTGTCTTCATTTGTTACTTGATATTAATATAGACTCAGTGTGGTGACATAATAAGTGTGCTTACTACAAATTTTGGATAAAATGTAAAATAACATTTCTGAACAAGTAAAATATACTTCAGTATTATACGTCATGTAACCGTCATGAATGTTGACGATAAATAGAAAACTAAAGAATTGATAGAAGTCTTAATCAATATTTAAGCAGTCTCACGTGATTTTTATAATACAGGTTACATCTATTTAAGCAATTTTGAATAATATAAACTTAGTTGCATGGTAATATGCTAAAAAAATTTCACTGACTAATTATAATGTTATTTATATTAATGTATATAAATTATTATCATATTACAATAATTTCGTCTATGTCCTCTGGTAGAGGTTTTAGATCATAGAAAAAGTAATCATCAGGTAAGAGTAGCCAATCTCGTACCTTCACAGAATTGTCAACTGGAGCGGAAGAGTAAATTTTTCTCCGTAACTTCTCCTGATTCACAAACTCAGTTCGAATTCTCATGAAGAAATTAAATATCTTTGTATAATAATGAATTGCATCAAACGAAAACGGAATCAAGCAAGAAACCAGCTCGACGGCCAAGAACTTCTCTTTGTCCATGAGAGAGACATCGCCAATAATTTGAATACTATAAGTCTTTGTCTCTTTAGCAATTTCGACATGCAATCCAGGTTATTTCCAAGCGTTCGGCAAAGGCTACTACATACAGACATCATAAGCAACTTTTTGGCATCTCCGACTGCGTGTTCTCGTGTAACTTTAAAGGGAGGTCCTGAGACTTCAGTGTTCAATCCATCTGATAAACGTATGACAAGTAGATCCGTCTTTCATATTGTTTGCCTCTTTTATTGAAGCAACATTTTTTTCGATCCAATCGTACAATTTAACTAATGAGCAATGAAATTGAAAATTTGCTTGATCGTGAAATTCTTCCAATCTTGTAGGTATCTGCAATTGATATTGTTTTGGTCTAATCAGGTGTTAACTTTTTTTTATTTTAGTTTCGATTCATATATACATAACATAATCAAAAAACAAGACAAAGGGCAATAGTATGCTTTATTTGATGGTGAATGTAATGAATTAAATCTGACAGTTTGTCTAATGATCAGCTATGGACATATTCACTTTGGGACACACGCACTAGTGAGTGAATTCTACAATACAATGAACCAAATGACATTCAGATTTGGACATAGAAAAGTTCACTTTAGTGCTGCAAAACAGTTTAATTCAGGGAACTAGTGGTTTATCAGGTATTAGTATGTCCTCATTATCATGTGTTTGTTATATTGTACTTGATGTTTATGATTATTATTATTAATAAATCCAATATTAGAATGCCTCTGTGGAACCCCTGAAGGCCAAGTCTCTGCTCCTGGTGCCCCCATGCACTCTATAAAGAAGAATAAGAAGGGTTTGTATTTATATTTATTATTATTATTATTATTATTATTATTAAATACAATGAAATATGAAATTGTATAGTTATTAACCAAACTCTTTGTCATTTCAGATGGTTCATTATAAATGCACACGCACCAGGTCTAGAAAAAGACCAAGTGAAAGTTGTGGTGGGCAAGAACCACAAAATCATCATGATAACTGGCATCATGCCTCCTCCCAAACAAAAAAAATCCATAATAAATACACTCCCAACAGGAGCCTTTGAGTTTGACAGACAAGTATTAGAAACAGGATAATAATAATAGGGACGTGTTTATAGAATAGTACTGATGTACAGTATTTCTCTTTAGGGTGGATACAACGGCACTCGGTCAGGTTTCCGCAAAAGATGATATTGTCATCATTAAGGTGCAAACAGCACCAGAAATACAATACATAAAACTTTCATCATGAATACAAAAGTTAAAATCTAACTTCATACAAAAACTATTTGTTGTACGCACATGTTAACAATAAAATAAAAGTAGTGTGTGTCAGTAGTCAACGACAAGCAGCATCTCGTTTTTCACATGACATAAAACGTACTTGTCGATAATATAATGGATATCTGGTCAAAAGAAAATAGAATATTAAAATTAACATTGAATGTTTTGAGTTTGTATATAACGATCTGCTTGATTTTTCGAAAACGCAACGCAAATCAATCTTCATCGCTAAACCCCTAAAGCAGCAACCAAAGAATTCAATACTCATATAATTTATTTTCGTCATCAATCATTAATAACCTACAACCAAGCAAAAGTATCCTACCGCCTGTATCACTTGAACGTACATGATTTTTTTTCTTTTGTTTATCTAAGCCATTTCTACATGTTTTTTGAAACATATAGTCGAATTATGAAATTATTGTTAATATAAAAGGAAACAACTGCGCATTATAGCTCTTAAAGTTGTTATATTGCACGCTTTATTTGCATGCCCATAGATCCCAAGCATAATTACGGCTGTGGTTCAAAAAAAAAAGAATATAAAATTTTGAAGTGATTGGCATCGCATAGAGGGTGTAGTATAGCCCGATGCAAAATATCCAATATTTAGAAATTTTACTAGAACATCCGCTCGAGCTGGTGTGATCACGCATTGTGTTAAACTTTTTTCGGGGTTATTTATCATGTACGTTCAAGTGATACAGGATACTTTTGTACTGTATGTTAAAGGTAACTGTTGCCGCAAAATCAATTTTCGTCGTCGATCACTAATAACCCACAGCCAAGAATCCAATGCTCATATAATCTACACGTATGTTAAAGGTAACTGTTGCCAACGTGTGTGCGAAAAATTGAGGCAGAAAATTAAGTACGATTTGAATATGCATGGCTGGCTTGATCCCTCAAAGACGCGAAATCAATTTTCGTCGTCGATCAATAATTACTAACGCTAACACTACGACTGTAATAGTAAGTATTGGTATTAACATTAAGGGTTGAAATTTTCCTGCATAACCAAGACAGAAATGTCACAATTGAACACTTGACACAGTTATAACAAAAATGTTACTTCTGAACTTTCTTTTTCGAACGATCTTGCATTGCAGTGAATCTCTTGACAAACTTTTACCCGCAAATTATAATAGTATTATAGTTTCTTCCTTCATTGCGCATAGTTTCTTCCACTGCAGCACGCATGGATAACAGTTACGTTTAACGTGCTTGTAAATTTTATAAGTATAGGATTCCTGGTTGCTGATTTAGGTTTCTAGCTATGAAGATTGATTTCGCGTCTTCGAAGAATCAAACGATTGGTATAGACGTATTCAAATCGTACTTAATATTCTATGTCAATTTTTACACACACATGACAATAGTTATCATTAACATGCATGAGTATTGGATTCCTGGTTGCTGATTTCTTCATAACTTTTAATGGTTAGTAATGCAACTTGTTCTCGCAAGGTACTGTAATCGGAAGCTTACATGGTAATGTAATTGGCAGTCGGTATTTGTATAAAACTCTTGGTAGTAGTAGTAGCAAGCTGTATTCAAAACATATAAAGGTGACTTTAGTGACCTGCGAAGCAATTGAGTTAGAATGCATCTCATAGCACATATCTATTGAAAGTGCTTTTGATAATAGTAAGCAATATAATTGTGCAACTTATTACTAAACGTCAAATTGCGAAGAAGCGTTGAATTTAGTTATGCAACAACTGTAGTTAGATAAACGAACGTGAAAGCCTACAAACCCGCAAGCAGTACATGTGTTATTGCGGCGAAAAAATTATTTGCAATTGTCCCATCTTAAAATGAGCCAATTCCCAGAATGAGCCGTAACATATACATCCAGAGAATCATTTAAAAATAGAAAACTAGGCGAATATGAATGAGTACATGGCAATATACACTCCCTGGACAAGGTATCCAGTATAATAATTATATATCATTTTGTAGCTTAGCTTTTCACAAATCTGCATGTGAAGTTTGAAGTGTTTAGCTTTCTTGAACGACGAATTATCAAACAAAAGGGGCAATTGCGATTAAAATCAATTTCACCGATCTTTGACTCGTGAAAATTTATATTTTAAACATATCTAAATAATAAAATTGTTTTATTATTATAAACCAAATATACAAACATGTGTTGCTCAACTTTTTCTTGCCGCCTCTTTTTTGTATGTAAATAATTAAATAAAAAAGCAAAAATTTTCGTGTTGTTGTTTCCAAGTTTTATTTCCAATGACTTTTATTATCGCGAAAGTTCCGGATTAACAGAAGCTGATCGAGGAAAAATCTTAGGTCTTAAAACAGGTGGAAGTAAGCATTTCAAAAATACTAAGACATTTAAAATTCTGCCATCCGCTGTACGGGATACCATTCATTGTTCGCTACATAAAACTCTGATAATTTAAAAAAGGGGTGTCCTTAACTTACACCCCGGGTGTACGCAAATTATCTTACACCCCGGGTGTAAGTTAAGGACACCCTTTAAAAAAGTGCTACGATTGCTCTGAAAGAGGAATGACACTAATTCCTCATCAAACATATTCCAATTTGATTAAGAGCATGCCAAGACATGCATTTCGAATAATGGATAGCCAACTCAGTACTAAATGTTTAGGGCCAAAGAAATCGGCGAAATTGATTTTAATCACAATTGCCTTTTGTTCGTTCAAGAAACTAATCACATGCAGATTCGTGAAAAGCTAAGTTACAAAATGATATAAAAATTTTGTATAATTATTATACTGGATTTTGCATAAACTCGAAAAAAACTCCCATCGGATACTTTTGTCCAAGGAGTGTATGTGTTCAATTAATGGTGTTATAAATTCTACTATTCGATACCGAAGTATTAAATGCGACGGGTATTTATTTGAAAAAGTAAATAATATGTAGGAAGAGCTAGGACATGTTGGTTATGTAAACTTGAGCATAGCAAAGTATCAATATTAGATCCTTTTGCTCATATTGAAGACATTAGTATTGTATGGGACACGAAACGATGCGTCTTATCACGTTGCTTATATGAACGTCTGCTTTCATGTATTAGTCGTCTTCACAATTTGTGACCTTTGTTCGCTTCTTATTTGAAATAGTAAAAAATATTCCCACAATTCATTACCGGTAAACTTTGCTTGGAAATTTCAACACGTTTCCCGTTTGTCGTCCTCTGAAAGCTTAGAAAGGATCCAGGTTGGGCACACTTTGCGGAGGCTCGTGTTTAGCGAGGACACGCAGGAGTCCTGCTTTGATTTTCTTTCTTCCCCGTCTTCTAAATGTGCTAACAGACAATGAAGCGAAATTGAAGTATCGTTGGTTCTCGCGGCAAGCATTTGTTTCCCAGTCGATTTACAAGAAAAAAGCTTTTCGGAAAACGAATCTTATAATGTACAGTATTTTCCTCTTGTTACGTGCATTCGATGATTATTTTCCATTTTTTTGTTAGATCGTACAATCTCAAGTTATAGAGTAGTACTGAGGTATTGGAATTAATAGGTGATACAGTGGGTGACTCTGTTGTAAGTACTGTTTATAATAGGATACGAGGAGTTTTTGCCCAAACTTTTATAACAATGCATATTATTTATTGTAGTCTATGAATATTTATTAAAATTATTTCAATTAAAAAAAAAAAGAAACTAAAAAACAACTATTACTACAAGAAATGTGAATTAAACTTGATTGATTGATCTGTTTAGAACAGAAACTATATTAGCTCGAGTCGTAGTGACTATTACAACATCAAGAATAAGTCACTTACCGATTAACATTATCAAAGAGTCTCTCTATATCAGATGCACATCTAGTGAATGAGTGGCTTCGGAAATCGTACTCGGGGTTCTTAACAAGTTCTATAAATGTTATCAAAAGTCCCCATGGGTGAGGGCGATTCACTATCAGTCTTTCCAATAACACCCTAAATAGACAGCAAATTTATGGCGTAAGTGACGTGTAACGAACGTGTTGCAAAGGAAACTTAGCAGGGATCATAGCAAACCTTGTCACTTGTTCCTTGATCACTTCTTGCCCACCGTCAGCAAACAGGTACAAAAGAGTTCGACTAAAGTAGTGAGTATGACTATTTGGGTATCGTAGCTGATTGGCAATCGCACTCAAGAACAAATATCGACCTGTAGAATCAAGAATAATTGACTGAATACGAATCCAGCTTCAAGCATTTACCTGCATTATCGTCCATACTTACCTTCTGAATCAAGAGTATTTAACAGCTGTTGGAATAGCTCCATATGCGCAGTATGGGTGAGAGGAGTATGGCCCTGTCTATTCTGAAAATGATTGATCGCCTGCATACCCACATATAGTACCAATGCGTTGATCACCGGCACGTTATATTTCGACCTCATGTCCACTTGTGTGCCCGGATCGGCCAACAATCTATTTTTCAGCTCACTCAAAAATGACGCTGGTTGTTTTGTCTTTAACCAATTGTCAATATCTTGCTTTAAATTCCCAGCCGTCAAAGCTGAGGTATAGTCAGATAACACTCGTGGAGGCTGAGAAATCTCAGGAAGAAGATCGACTTTGAGGTTACGAGTAAATGGATCAGGAAGACGCATATTGCGAGGAAACGCACTGAGTATTAGATTACGGAGCTGAATGCACGATGGTGGGATAACATCACAAAAGCTAAAATGGTAGTCACAAAG